CACGAAACACTGGCGATGTATACCGCTTGGAAAAAATCCGTGAAGAAGAAATTAAGTTGGAGCAAGGAGCCACGAGAGGGTCACACGCACATGTCACAGGGGGCCACGAGACGACTGACAATCCAGCACCACCGCCGATGCAAGCCCCACCGAATCGAGCGCCGCCACCAAATGGGAGGCGAGTCTTTAGGCACCTGACTCTAGAGGAAGCTGCTAAACGCTGTCGTGATGGCCTTTGCTATAACTGTGATGAGCGTTTCAAAATCGACCATCGCTGCGGTAACAATCAAGTGTTTTCTTTGATCGGGGATTTTGGCCGTGCTGAAGGAGAGTGGTTCAAGGAAGATGTGCGACCTCGGGACGAGATCTCTTGAAGGTGGGAGGATTGATGAGTTCACGTTTTCTTACCATTGGGTTATTAAACTAATTTCGGTTATTATTATTATTATTATTATTATTATTGTTTATTGGGATATTCTTTTGGTTGTTTTTTGCTATTATTATTTCTTTGTTAAGGAAGTAATCGGTTAGGAGCTGGTCTAGGATTGGGTTTCCATGTTTGAGAGGGAGAGGGTTATGGGACTTGTCCTATGAATATGTACTTTACCTCTACGTTTTATTCACCAGAAAATAATAAACCAGTTATTTTAGCTTTTCTTAGCTTCTTGTTATGAAATCCCGACGTGCGTCACATTTGCAGGGAGAACGTTATGGATCAAGCCCAATAAAACTGAAAGCAGTGCAGCGAACTCGTTTTGTTGATTGGGTGACCTCTATCCTTTGTAGGGTGAAAGCTATGGATCAACCCCCGACTGTCAGACGAAAGTAGAGCAGCGAACTCCTGCAATAATACTAGCAACATAGAATGCCGAACAAAAACAAAGAGCCACCTCTAGAGCGTGAGGAAAGCATCATCTCCTTTTCGACATGACCAAATCCATAACTTAACCTTCAACGGATCTGTTGGTTTTACTTCACTTGTTGTGTCAGCGATAAGGATCAGCGTCTATTTTGTTTGGGTGCTGGGCTGAGCTCGCTTGTTTGAACGTTTGAGTGTTTGGCTCTGTTTTTTAGATCACTGTCTTTTCTTTGTTTTTTAGTAGGGGCCTTCTGGTGGGTCAAGCTCCCTTGTTTCTTTGTTTCTGCTAGTTGTAGGTAGTGCTTCTTTTCTTCCGTTCCTTTCTCTTTGGTCGCACTCCTGGTACCCATTTGTATCAAACTCTTTCTTTTATTTCAATTCAATTGTCACCTTCATCTAAAAAACCTTCAACGGATCGAGCCCCTCGAAGCTAAAAGCAGAGCAGCAACACCCAATTGTAACTTGTATTAGCAAACAACTGCAAAACGAGCAAACTCATAGCCTCGACTAGCCTAAAAAATGCAGAATTTCCAAAGAGAGGAGAGACAACAAAACATATCGGAGGAGCACCAACTGCTAAAATAGCTGATGCCAAACTAGCAGACACGTTACTAAGTAAGAGAAGAGCTCATACATGATACAACAAATGCGTTTGGGCTTTTACTTTGATGAAGCCAAATGCTAAAGGATAACAGTAGTAAATCAAGTAATTGGGAACCTAAATGCTAGAAATGGGAGGGCGTCCTCCAAAATAAATAATTAATTAATCATTGATCGTACTAACACTTTTTTGAGGAATCACTATCAGTAGAGCCAAATGCTAAACGATTACATGGTTTAATTAGGTCGTATTTAATATAAGGAGTTTGAAATGCTTTGATAGTCCATCTTCAATCGGAAACTTGCACATAGGACGAGTCTAATGTGCAAATAAGGACAAATTTCATAGGTTTTTATTAGGTTTTGTTCTTATTGTCTCTGATGTGTTTGATTATTAAGCAACTGAAGCACTTAAGGTCATTGATCCTGACTTCAAAGTCCTCCTATGGATACTGGTACCAGGGGCGGACATAGGGATAGGGAAGGAGTGTGTTCGAATCAATTTTTGGATTATTAATCATAATCTGATATGGATCCAATAATCATAATATGTGTACAATTGAGCCCGAATAAATTTTCGGGTTTAATTGTTGTCTCATCTTATGATTATTGGATCCATGTCAGATTAGCAAAAGCTCTAAGACTATTGGTCAACCGGGCTGAAAATTAATATTAATTTATGAATTATTTATCACTTTCAAAATGTATAATACTGCAATTCAATATGAAAATTTAATATTCAAACAAATGATATATGAGTTTCAAGTCTTTCTAAACAATTTTAGAAAAAAAATCTCCCCCATGACACACATTTGCAACGAAATACTAAATCTCAATTTCTTCTTCACTTTACTTTCTTCTACAGTTATTGTTGACGTAGTTTGTTATTACTGCAAGCTGTAAAAATGACTTTTCAACTATGAAGTTAATCAAGAATGATTTTATAAATGAATTTTTAGTTGTATACATTAAAAAGGTTTGAGTATCAAAATAAACAATGAATGTATTTTATAAACCTTTTAGGATATGAGCTGTTACACGTGGATGTGAGAAACTACTCAAATTTTATATATTATTTTTAGAAAATTTTATATGTTATTTTTAGCCATGCCCAAGTTATCCGGTGTTTATTCACGTGGCCAAAAGTATTGACCACCATTTTTTACCTTGGTTAAGGAAATAGTTTTATGTAGTATACCTATTCATAACAGCAAGATAAAAACAATCATAAATGCACACATTATTCAATTTTGACTACCTTATGATATACTACATTTGAATAAACTACAACTGATGTCACAAATAATAGTTATACTTCTAAATCATACATAAAATATTTCAAACGTCACAAATATTAAGATCAAACTAATTATTATAAAGAGTAAAAATTGTATAATGATGTTAATTATAATTCATTTATATGAGAATGTCCTATAAATTGATCAACACATCCGATCCAAAATTGACGAAATGAAAATCACATTAAACTCGATATCGTCTCATTATTGTCGGGTCCATTCATGCCCGATTAGCAAGAGTTTCACGTTTAGCAGTTAACCAGGCTAAAATTTTAGAGAACCAATCACCTATAGTTTGTACAAAATATTATTGTTTCGTATTTGTTCTGGAAATTTATACTAATTTAAAGAATTCTAGATCGATTTTTCATATTCAATGCTGCAGTTCGATATGCAATATTTCAAGCAATGAATTTTTTATGCAATTTTTAGATTAACCGTCATTTTATAGGGTATAAAAAATATAAATCATGTATTAAACTTTACTTTTCAGAAGGTTTAATAGGCTAGCTAACCGTGAAATGTCCTATGCTTTTCAAATCTTCACTTAGTGCATGTTTACAATTTGAGAAGATAAAACAAATTTGTTTTGTGTAATTAGTTGTGATCATTGTTTTTCTTTGAAGAGACCAAAATTCAAATCTTGATATTGATCGCTTCACGAAATTTGAAATAGAAAATCTTAAAACATTGAATATATCTTATAGAAAGAGCTTCTTCAACCAAGTAGGAAATGTATTTACCCTAAAATTATTATATCTTATAGAAAGTGATTAATTATGAAATCGGAATTCAAGTAACATTGATTCAAAAATTAAATAATAAATTGTATGTGTGGTTCAGTTTAGACAAAATACATATATGTAGCCAAAACATGGATCTTTGTGACAAATATAGTAATTTTTTTGTCACAAATGTACACATAATATAAAGATAAATTGGGCACTATGACGAAAAGGAGCTTCGTAGAATCACTCTCAAGCCACGAAATTTGAAATGAGACTCTCATTTTCCAATTCTATCATTATATTATGTGTAGATTTGTCACAAAAAATGATTATACTAATCACAAAGGTCCATGTTTTGGTTACACTTATTTTTTTTTATAATGGTGATGAAGATTAATTAAAAGCGGCTAAAAGCCAAAGGTGTCCAAGATAAATACAAACCAAGGAGGGAAGCTGGTTCAGAAGCACTGAACAGCAGCAACAAACAACAGCAACAAACAAGCTAAAAGAAACAGAAAAATGGCTCAAAGGCAAGAGCCCAACAGTACGCTACAACAACAAAAGCCAAGACAGGAAGGGGAAAAGGCAGAGTCCACAGAGAGCAGGAGAGAGGCCTCCCGACGCAACACAGGCGCCATCGAACGAAGCCACCAAAGCCCAGCACCTGCTGCTTCCACGGCACAAAGAAAACCAGCAATCAATCAACAAGCCAAAACCAAAGGTCCCAACCGCAGCAAAAACGATCAAACAAGCAACCTCCAAACGAAGACTCCAACCCAAACCAGCCACTCATACGATCTCACACCCTGATTAAAGAATTCCTAAGCCACCTGATACCATCATCCTTTCCCACCTTGCCATGAACCATAACCCACTCCGTCATACATCTAATTGTCATCCACGCAACCATAGGGGCAGGCACCTTTTTGTCTTGGAAGATACGCCTATTCCTCTCAAGCCACACTTGCCAACACACCGCGTGTAAAGCACAATAATGAATCCATCCTGTAATGTTCCCCGGCTCATCCTTGCTCCACCTTTGAATCGTTGTTCCAATATCAGTTGATGGCGGAACAAAGAAGTTGCCAGCTCTCATGATCCGGCTCCAAACCTCCCTTCCAAACTCGCAGTCCACAAACAAGTGGTTCACCGTCTCTTCCTTCTTGCAGCAAAGCGCACACCAATTAGCGATGGAGAGTCCCGTTCTTTGCAGCCTATCAAGTGTAGAGATTCTCTTGTGGGCAAGGAGCCAAATGAAGAAGCAAATCTTGTTGGGGATGATCTGCCGCCAAACTGAATCAGTAGGGAAGCTAGGCAGCCCAGGGAAGCGATCCTTGATAAGACACCTATACATGGAACGAACAGAGAACGTGGAGTTTGGTGACGGCGACCAAACCAGCCTACAAGGCCCGCTGGTCACCCTATTAGCCCCACAAGAATTGAATAAGTTCAAAAGAGACACCCTTTCCCTCTCAGCCCCCCCTCTAAGAACAAAAGATAAAGGAATATCCCACTCTATACTCTCACCTGTGTGCAGCAGAACGTTAGAAACCCAAGCATCCTGATTAGGCGCGGCGGCAGCAACACTGGGGAAAGTTTCGGCGAGAATCGTCTCCGGGATCCAACAATCGTGCCAAAAAGAGACCCCCACTCCATTTCCCGGGTCAATGTGAGCCATCCTCCAGAATTCATCAAAGCCCTTCGTGATATTGGCCCAAACAGAACTGGCAAATCCACTACTACACTTACCCGTATGCCAAGTCGAGAGAGCATTCGGGTATTTGGCGCTAATCAAACTTCTCCACCACCTTTCCTTCTCGTTAGCGAAGCGCCAGAGCCATTTGCCAAGCATGGCACTATTGAAATAAGCCAAATCAACCACTCCCAAACCTCCTTTATCTTTAGTTGCTTTACACAATTCCCACTTAACCAAAGGGACCTTTTGTTTCTCCCCTGTTCCACTCCACAGGAACCTTCTTTGCACATCTTCCATCCTCTTGATCACTGTAGAGGGAGCACGAAGAATAGAGAAGAAATAAACAGGCTGGCTAGCAAGAACAGACTTGTACAAAGTCAACCTGCCTCCCATGGACAAGAAACGACCCTTCCATCCCTCGAGCCTCTTTTGGTGATTAGCAATAATCGGGTCCCAAGTAGAAACAGCATTCGGTTTAGCGCCTAACGGAAAACCGAGGTACTTGGAACATACTTGCTCCAATTACACCCAAAAATATCAGCAAAAAACTCCGAATTTGCCACATCCCCCACTGTGAACATAACCGATTTCTCCAAATTGATCTTCAACCCTGTAACAGCTTGGAAACAAACAATGGTGGCCAGAATACTCAAAACCTGATCGTGGGATGCATCACAGAAAATCAGCGTATCATCGGCAAATAACAGATGAGTAACCTCACCAGTTCCCTCGCTCTCATTCATACAGAAACCACTAATTTTCCCATCCTCCCTGAGCTTGGTGATCATAACTGACAGCACATCCATGACAAGAGCGAACAATCCAGGCGAAAGGGGATCACCTTGGCGGAGACCTTTGTGAGCCGCAAAGAAACCTTTAGCTTCCCCATTTACCAAAATAGACAACATCGGAAAGCACATTACTCCACGAATCCACTGCTGCCACTTCAAAGGAAAACCCAAACTGGAGCAGGCCCTAAAAAGGCAATCCCAACTAACGTTGTCAAAGGCCTTCTCAATATCCAACTTGAACATGAGTCCCGGCTTTCTACTCTTCCGACGGCTGTCAACTAACTCAAACGCAACAAGGCCAGCATCAGCAATCTGTCGTCCCTTCACCGAGGCGTTATGGTTGAAAGCAACGAGCTTAGGGAGAACTAAACTGAGTCTGCGAGCAAGAATTTTACTGATCAGTTTATTAAGACTCCCCATTAGACTTATCGGCCTAAGATCTTTAATCTCCTCCACCACGTCCTTCTTAGGGACTAAACAGATAAAAGAGTGCGTAGCACTTTTTGGTAAGAATCCCGCGTCAAAGAACTCAGAAATCGCCCTCACAACCTCTCCTTTAATCCACGGCCAACACTTCTTGTAAAATTCCAGCATAAACCCGTCCGGCCCAGGAGCCTTTCCCCCATCGCTATCTCTGATGTTGTCCCAGATCTCCAACTCAGAAACAGGAAGACAAAGTCCCACCCCATCAGCCTCAGAAAGACCATTCCCACCAAACACCCTTGGAAATGGCCGCCAGCTATTATTGTCTTGGAAGAGAGTCAAATAATGATCCACAATACCTGCCGCCAGCTCGTCCTTACCCTCAACCACAACTCCATTAATTTTAATACTTTCAATCAAGTTGAGTTTGCGACGATAGTTTGCAGCCTTATGAAAAAAGGGAGTATTATTGTCACCCAACTTAAGCCCCATTTCTCTCGACTTTTGTCTCCACGAAATCTCCTGGAGAAACAAAGCCTTGCCGATATCAAATTTAAGACAATCCCGGGCAGCTTGCTCATCAATGGAGAGAGGTCGAGATTCCTCAAGGGTATCAAAATCCAATATCTTTGTAGCTAAATCATTGATCCTAATATTAATGTCACCAAAGACTTCTTTATTCCAAACTTTGATCTTGCTTCTAAGATCCTAAAGCCTCCTTGTCCAGAGAAACACACCTCCCCAACCCTGTAGACTGATGCAAAGCCAAGACACCAAGCCTTCAAAAAATCTATCATCTTCCAACCACATATTTTCAAATTTCCACGGTCTCCTGATTGTAATGTTCCTCCCCCAAATCAGGAACAACGGGTTATGGTCTGATTCCAAGCGCTCAAGAGCCGATAAAGAGCAATCCGGGAACAAACTGTCGAAACTCGGGGATATAAAAGCACGATCAATACGAGAAAGGCTGTTATGAGCTCCCCCTTTACTCCACGTGAATTTACTTCCACCAAGAGGCAGTTCAAGGAGAGCATTAGAATCAATGAAATGGTTGAACTCCTGCATCATACTAGAGCACCGTCTCACTCCCCTGTAGTCATCGTGACTTCGAACAAGATTAAAGTCCCCAACAACACACACCGGTACAACTAAATGCTGACATAGAGTATTCAATTCATCCAGGAACCTCAGTTTGTCCTCCCTCTCCTGCGGCCCGTACACAACCACCAAATGCCAAACCTTGAGACTAACGACCTCTTGGAATTCCACCTTCAGGAAGAAGTTTCCTTCATGGTTAGAAACCGCCTGAACGTGATCCTGATCCAAATAAATAGCAATGCCACCAGCGCTGTTAGTTGCATTCTTCGACACCCATCCAAGCTCTCTACGCCCACTAATGCTTCTAATAACTCTGTCATCACAATTGTCCCACTTAGTTTCAGCCAACCCTACAATTTTGGGATTCTTCCTGGCTATAATTCTCTTAATTCTAGCACACTTGCCATGATCACCAAGCCCTCTGACATTCCAAACAAGAACCGAAGATCCCATAAAAATTAGATTCCAATGGCACTTCCCCCCTTCCTCTTGCTCTTCCGCGGACCAGTTGGAAGAGGATCCAAGCGTCCCAACCGGTGCTGCTCCATCTCAAGCTTTGATCTTGATGTTCGCAACTTACGTTTATGCAGGTCTTTAGCCGTGTCCATGACAAACTTATCCACCTCTTCCTGCCCAGAAACATGTTCCAAATTAAATAGCCGACTAGCAGATACACTCGCCGCCTCCAAAGAAGCCAGATCAAAAGGAAATGACTCAGAGCACCAAGAGCGCTCCTGGCTATCGGGAACGCAAGACGGCAAAGGGAGCTCCGACCCACACCAATCAAGAGGGCTCAAGCTGACGGGGGAGGGGGAGGAAGCGGGGGCCGAAGGGGAACATATTGAGAGGGGCTCAGGAAAATCAAGGGAGGATGAGATTGGAGTCGATGGAGACTCATCAATCTCAGAAATCTCAGAAATGGAAAGAGGACACAAAAGAGAGGAGAATTGCGGTGGACAATGGGAAAGTAAGGGTAACCGGTGGGGAAGGTAGTTTGATGGCTGGGGAGTCCAACGCATCTGGGTGAATGAAGGAAGAAAGGAAGAGATAAGGTGGGAAGAGGAAAAATGAATAGACTCGAGGCTAACGACAGAAAGGAAGCAGAATTTCAGGCAAAGGGTCCTGGCTGGGCTAGTGGCGAGATTGACAAAGATGGGTCCAGCCGACCAGCCCAAAGGGTCCAAGGTGAAAGACGCAAACGACTCAAGAAAGGAATCGGTGGGCCGGAGCAAAGACACCACCCCACAACCTGGTGAAAGGGAGTCAATATCTTCCGCCAAAGCTAATGGGCTAGATCCTACCTCGCTAACCAGTATTGAGGACGGGCTGGCTGGAAGGCCCAGGCCCAAGCAGACCCCTAGGGTTTATAGTTGGCCCAAACTTCCTCATCCAGACCTGTTTAGTTTTGCACCAAAGCCTACCGCCACCAAGACTTGACACTCCGCTAGCCTTTGAAACAGGCGCATGCAAACGCATGCACGCATCAACGCCCCAACCAGGCTCGTTGCTCAAAGCCCGACTCTTAGATTTCCGCAAAACCTGACTGCCCTGCATCTCTTCCAACGATCCAGAACTATCCCCACGACTCTCCGACTCACCCACCGCCGGCCTAGAATACGAGCCTCCCTTTCCACCCGGGAAAACCGCCGGCGACCAAAAAACTTTGACCTTAAACCAATGAGAACCATACAATAAAGGGATTTCGGCCGGAATATCGTGTGGGGCCTTAATTCTGATGCGAATGAAAGAGAGGCTCCACGAGTTCCAGTCAACCTCCACAAACGAACCACAAAAATCACCAATAGCCTTGAAGAGATTGACACTTTTCAGATGAAGCGGGATGTCGAAAACAACCAGCCAGACATCATCCGGCGAAGTCAAATTGATAGAATCATTCTATTGTGTGAACTGGATGCGGAAGTCTTTAAACATAGTATGATCCAACTCTTTAATCCGCAGGGCTTCTTGAACGCTCGGACACACCAGCAACCATCTTCCATCACCCAGGTCATTGAGCTCGAAATTATCATCAACTGCCCAATTCCTTTTTGCCCATCGCCTGAAAACCCCCACGAGATTTGACGAGAAAACCTCCGAACCTTGAGCTACGAAGTTAAGAACTAGGCTCCTTCCCAGCAGGCTGCACCTCTCCGCAACCCCAGCCTTTCCAACTTTAATATGTAGACCCATTGTACTGCTCTTGATCTTGCACTTACCTGCCCCATAAAACCCTCCACATTTGACAGCCTCCGCATAAGTTCTAGAAGCAGTGGAAGGTGAGGGATGGTGAGGCGCCGGAGGGAGCGGGGAGGTCAACTCACTCCCGAACTCCTTTCGTAATCTAAACCATTGCTCTGCCTTGTAGAATTCTTGTAGCAGTGCAGTAACCGCTGCCCAGCCTTTATCTCTTCCCAAGGACGGGATGAAAATTTTGAAAATCTTCCCACTTTGGACACGCTCAGATATCTGAAGGCTAGGAGCTTGCCGGAAGTGAGACCTCCCAACATGAACAGTTCTCCCTCCACTCTTTTTAACACAACCAACTGGGAAGTTCCAATCTCTCATCGCCGTCGTCTGGAGCACTCCTTGAAGCCAGGAGATCAGCCTTGCATCAAGTATCACAAACCACCTTCTATCCCGTTCTTCGACCTGTAACTTATACCAAAATACTTGTCCTGTCCCCTTGCGACAAATAGACACGATTTTCCGTCCCATCCTTGTTTGCCGCCAACACTCCCCATCCGGACCGCCGCCGCCGCCGA